AGAGTCATCAACTTAATTTAAATATGAATAGATGAGTTGATATTTATAACTAATCGACTCACTCTAACCTGCCAACTCATCAGATCAACCCATGGGATAGAGTGAACCAACCTATTGCACTAATAAAAAAAAATATTTTGATCAGGACGCAGTTACTGAGGCAACATATAATTTATGAAAAAATTGAGAAATTTTATTATAATTTGTGAAAAGAGGAATAAAAAAGTCTCACTCACTCATTGAAAACACTCTTCTCTCACAAACACAAGTTTCTTCCTCATTTTCTCATTGCTCAAATCGTCATTGTTCACCTTTTTGCACCATAACTAATAAGGTAAACGTGAAGTTTTACCAATTAAAAAAATAACATGTAATTTTTATTTTAGGTGTTTGAAATTTTCAACATAAGCTTTAACATTTCCTTGATGTATTTGTTGTTTATTACTATAAAATTTTTATCTTGATTATTCTAAATTTTAATTTCTTAACATAATGTACCAAAATATATTATTAACATGAAATATATAGGTTATTGAATTGTTGACATACAATGTTATGGTTAAGCTTATTAAAATTATAATTTAAAAAGGGAATCAAACTAATATTTATAAAGAAAATTGACAGGTTAATAAGCTCTTGGCAATATGGGTTAATGTTTGTAGTTTATCCTTACTGTAACGGGCTAACTTATTTCTTCTTGTTTTTTACAAGCCGAAATGAAATAGATTGGCCATTTTGTCACCTCTATCTTGGCTTGTAGGTAAACCAGTATGATTTTGGTGTGTATGACCATATAACTTATTATATTTGCGGTAAAACTATTGTGTGTATTGCTCTTCTTTCGGATCTTGAGCTTTATATTCTTGACCATAAAACTGGTTATGTTTGCAGATAAAACTGTTGACCTATAGAAGATCTAGTGAATATTGTTGTTCAAGGAAAATTTAACCATATAATTTTTATAACTTATTTAAAATCTTCAAACTTCCAATAAACCTTTTTTTGAACTTAGTCATTATTTTTAGTATTGTGGTTTGATAGTAGTAAGGTTTCTTGGATACTGTGTGAAAGTGTAACATCTTAAAATTTATCAAGGAAAATTTAACCATCCAATTTTTATAATTTGTTTAAAATCTTCAAAATTCCAATTCCCCTTCTTGAACTTATTCATTATTTTTAGTAATTTGGTTTGGTATTAGTGAGGTTTCTTGGATATCATATGTGAAAGTATAACACTTTAAAATTTATCATGTATATTTTTTAAATATAATATATTAAATTATAATATTTTTGGATGACTTAAATATTTTTATAATAAAAAAACACATTTATTCATTTGTTAAAAAATAAATAATATTAAAAAAAAGAGAGAAAAGATAAGAGACTTATTTGAAAAAGATAAGCATATAATTAATGTTAAAAAAAATTATAAGAAGAATTAAGCAGTGAAAAGGAGTAAGAAGGAAAAGAAGAAAAGAAAAAGACATTAAGAGAAAGAAGAGAAATAAAAAAAAAAAGAGAAAAAGAAAATACAAATATAAAAAAAGTATTTTTTGATTAATTTAGTGTATTATGTGTAGTTATTAAAATAAAATAAATAAAATAATTATTATTTTATTTATTTTATTTTTAATTTTAATTTTAATTTTTTAATCATATATATTTAATCTTATTTTATTTGTTTATTTATATTTAATATATTTTTAGTTATATATTAATTATCTTATTTATTTATATTTATTTAATTTATATCCAATTATGAATTAATCCTTTTTATTAATTTATATTTATATTATTTATTTTGAATACTAAATTTTTTTATCTATTTATATTGATTTATTAATTTATGTCTAATATTATATTTATTTATTTATGTAATTTATATCTAATTATGTATTATTTTTTATTTATTTAATTTATCTTTAGTACCAATCTTTTTTATTATTTATATTTATATTATATATTTTATCTTCATATATATTCATCTATATTAATTTATTTTTATATTATTTAATTTATTTTCAAAAGTTTTTGAAGAATAATATTTTTTTAATGAAAATATAATCACATTAAACATTAGGGATTCTAATGAATAAATATCACTAAAAAATAAATAATTTTAGACTACTAGATATTAAAAAATTAATTCAAATCTTATTAATATAAAATAAAATAAAATATCTTAATTAAATTGAAAAGGTGATTTATATATTATATTAACATGATATTTTTCTATTTTATTTCTCATGTATTATAAAATTAAAAATATCATCTTAAATAAATAAAAATATTTTCTTTCTAAGGTTTTTTAAGATTGAATTACTAATATCATTGATAATTCAATATGGAATAATAAATATGTCAACTTTATAAATAATATCTCATCTAAATTTATATATGTAAAATTAATAAAATGTATAAGACGAAGATGAATGAAATTCCATGTCAATTTGTCAATCAAATTTATAATATTAAAATTTTAAATAGGTTTTATGTTAATTCATATCTACTTCAACAAATCCCCTCTTGATAAAACACATTGCTTAAAAGAACTAAACTTATGCTAAAATTTAATACAATTTGTTCCCTGAAGATTTGACACGCATATCACTTCTATTCTAGTATGTTTGTTGGAAAACTCAACATCATATGAGACTCCTCTTAAGATAAAAGCTTTCTAAAAAAGAAAAATATTCATACTTCCTACAAAACTCACAAGGTTTTTTAATCATTTAAATTAGTGACTAAGTATATATGAGTTTTTTTATTTATAAAGTATGAAAAGAGTAACCAAACAAGTTGCTTGTCACCTTTATGTCCAAACAAACTTAAAGATTAAACTATTAAAGGATACATTATCCTTTAATTAAAATATATGTATCATATCAAAATATATTTTACATTTTTCTTGAACATATATAGCGTTCCTCCTCATGTCCCACATTTCTATTCAATTTTCTTGCAATATTTTTTTAATTGAATTTTTCTTATCCAAATCTTATCATGAGTTTAACTCATAGTTGATTAGGTAGGATTTATGAAGTATTTTAAACCCTACGCATGTGTATAAGTAGTTAAGAAAGTAAAATTGTCTACATATATCTTACACGGAGATGCACACTAGAGACTATAACTGATTAAAGAAAGTTCAGATAGTATATTACTGATTTAAATAAGTGTCGGTCCTAATGTAAGATTGATTTTTATTTTAAAGATTTATATATATAAAAAAATCTACAAATTAAGTATCCTATAAATGTTTAAATTATGATTTAAGTTCCTATAAAATATTTTAAAAACTATGTATTTTATTTTATTTTTATTTTAATAAGAAAATCAAAATAGATTCAGTATTGAATTGATGTAAGAGGCTCCATCAATAAATTAAAATAAAAAAAATTGTGACATAAATTAAATTATATCTATTTTTATTCAATTTATTTATATTATAGTTTAGATCAAATTAAACTATAAATTTCTGGGTGAATTTATTTTATAAAATTATAAATTATATTTAATAAAAATAAAATTTTATATTATTTTATTTATATATATTAAATTAATTTAAGAAAGAATTCACCTCTCATAACAATAAATATAAGACTAAATACTAATAATTACTTATTATAATATTTAATATCTAATATTAAAATTAATTATTATTTTAAATTAATAAATTACTAAAAAATAAAAAATTATAATAAAAATAATTTTTTTATTTTTTATTTTGAGATTAAATAAATTAATTATCTTATAATTTATATTAAATTATTATATATTAAATAAAAATTAATTTTATTAATATAATTTTAATTTTTTATTTAAATATTTTTGATTAAATATTTTTTGTAAATATATTAATATTTTTTTAATTTTTAATCATAATAAAATTTATCAGTAGCATATAGTTTCATTTTAAAATATAAATTATATTAAACCATAAATTTTTTTATTTCACTCGTTTTGAGAGACGTTATTTTTAGATAGATGAATTGAAGGGAAAACATGAAAACGCGTTCAGTAGCGGGAATGCCGAAACGCAGATTGAAGAAGACAAGGGAAGCCCAAATTGTCCAAACATATTATTTGCATATAAAAATATTTTCAGCATCTTCCCAACCCAAAACGTGTAGCATGTTGTTTTAGGCTGATCTAATTTTTCAACAAAATAAACATTGACTTAAAAATAATTAAATAAACAAACAAAATTTTGAAGATCGTATCCAATTAAAATATATTAATGTTCACAAGTTTTTTATATGGAAGTTTCACATCGAACAATTTTTATTTTCTAATATTAAACAAAATTTTATCTCCAATATAACATAAATTTTTCATTAATGTGTCCCATAATACGATTAAGTTAGATCAACATTAATTATTGTCAACTTTTATCATTATTATCTGATAAAATGTGCATCTGATGTAAAAAATTAAAAAGTTTAGTAACGTGTTTACTCAAGCATCTTATGCTTGAAAAAAGTCTTCATCAGAATAAATTATGAATTTATATCTATTTTATAATCTGGTCAATTTGTTGATGTATTTAGTCACATGCCAATTGATTTAATACTTTCTACATGTAGTAAAACAATACAGCTTATAACAATTGAGACCTCTTATAAAAAAAAAAAGTTATTGTTTATATTTTCATGATAGATCACATATCTTAAACCTTTTGAGACCTTGAATTACGATTACAACCCATGGCATAGAAGGAGTATGAACATAGGCTTTTGGAGTCTAAATTTCCATTACTCTGTACATAGCTAGGCAAAGACAGATATCTCATGCTTTTGGAACATGAATATTGTGACAACATGAAAATTAATGACTGAGATTAGATGAAATTAGGTACTTGTTTACTTCTTTTCTTCTTTTCCTTTTTCAGCACCTAGAGTTACAATAATTGATTGAATCACCAAAATTCTGATGATGGTGAGTTGCAGTTCCAAAATACACAACCTAGCACGTATAACTCAAGTTTTGTTCCTTCCAATTTAAAAGACAAATGGGATGATTGCCTTAACATCCTTAGGGAAGTCCTCAAACTTAGAAAGATACCATTTCCTAGTTGAATAACTCCTACCCAACAAGTAGAAAGTAGTGCCTACAGTGAAACATAATGTATATAGTGTCTGAGAAATGAAGGAGATTCCATAGAACTGAATAATCTCAGAAAGGTAGTGGGGGCATATCACAAACTCAAACAAGCCACCCTTTGGAATCTTGTACTCCTTTTCACCCTTTTCCCTCAAGTTGGACAGAAGGCAGTGGTGGTAGAAGTTGCCAATGATGCCCACCACAAACATCACAATGCCAGGATACAACAGATTGATTGGTGGTTCTGGAAGCCCTTGTGTTAAGTGTTGAGCATAGGTCATAGTAGCAGCTGATAGGAAATAACTCAGAGTGATGGGGATTGCAGAATCAAGAGCCATGCCACCACTATATTTGTGAATAAATAGAACCTACACATCAACAACATTTTTAATTGAGCTGAAATCCAATAAAAGAACAAGAAATTGTTGTTTAGTGTTATGAATCAATCATAACAGACTTAGATTCTTTGTGATCAAGTTTTTGATAAAAGCCTTTATCAAAAAACTCTCCTGAAATTAGTGTCATTTGGATTCAAATGCAGATTGCATCATGGTGATGTGGCAGCCTCCATAATAATATCAAGCCATGATTGTGGACTGCATCAAACCAGAACAGCCCCAACACAATTGTGACCAAAAACCATAATTTAAAACCCATTTTCATCATAAGCCAGGCATATAATTTCTTCCACACAATCCCATAAATTCCAAATCCTGTGAATAAACAGAATCTACACAGTTGAGAAAAACTGCATTCACTTTTGTGTACTCCACAACTCTCAAAGGCAATCATAGAGCAGCAATAAAACCATAAGCCCAGGTACCAGAAACCAAAACAGAAAAAAGAAAAACTATTTCAGCACTGAGAAAACAAAACCCCAGTCCTTTCCAGTCAAACATTGAACCGCTATTCTTTGCCCAGATTTCCAAAGAAGGTTTACAAACCATGATTTAGCTGCGGCGTCAAAAAATTTCGACTCATTGCAATCACAATTGAAACTGCAATGGCCATATTTGTCTTCAATTTTTTGCAATGTCAAAGATCGCGATGAAACTCTTACCCCATCATAAAACCTTGTTCTTTATTATCAACTACATGATTGAACCCTTTTAAAAGTTACTAAATCCCAGGTTTTACGAGTTTTCAACACGATCTTTAATATTTTTCGAAAATAACTGGCAAATACAATTGACCCCGAACCAAATTTTACACCCCTGCTAAATTCTATAATCCATCATCCCAACAACCTATGAAGACGGATTTCAAAATTGAATAGTAACCTAAGGTAAAAAAAAGGAAAAAAACAATTTTGCACTAAACACTGGTAAATCCATTTCATCATAAACCATTAAACCATGGTTTTAAATTGCAGTCTACAATTCAATTGCCACCGCAACACAAAGGTTGTTTTGACAACGCAACTACAATTGTGACTACATCAGCAACAATTTCACATAATGCAAGTAAAATATTCTAACAAAAAGAAACCTAAAGCCATGATATTTAAAACCCAATTAACTATTATTTCTTCCATATATACAAAACAATTAATTCCAAATTCCAAACCTACTGGGAAATTTTAAACTTTTGTGCACTAGTAGTGTGAGAGCATAACGTGAGAGTTACTGACCTCAAAGACCCTCTTGAAGAAATGAAGGGTAACCGCAGATTGAAGGAGGGTGGATCTGAGACCTTCATGAGGAAAGATCCAGAAGGAAGCAAGGCCAGCAAGAAAAGCAGGAGTGTACAAGAGAAGCATGCCAGCTTTACTTGACAACTTGATCTGCTTTTCTGCAGAAGGGTTAACATTCCAAAACTTTGAGTAGTTCAAATGCTTCCCTCTAACTTCTGACAAACCAGTATTCGCCAGTGACACGAGGCTTATCACTGACATGGCAGAAACCACCAGAGAAGGCGGCGGCGGGAAAATGAAGCTCAACAACACAGACATCACCATTTTGAGGTGCGGTGGATATGATAAGCACGGTTTTGGTTTTTCCTTGGACCTTGTCAAGGAAAAAAGAGTTGATGATGATGCACTTATATAACCACATTTTTTATTGAACATAATTCTAGTGGGATCCACATCTAGGTGATTAATGATGTTTTTATTATTTTTTTTTTCTTTTTCTAAGATTTGATATTTCTCAGGTGTTGGTTCATGTTCTCATGCAGCAGCGGTGGATAGTTATCCAACATGGTGCCAGTTAGGTTAGGTTGTGTGAAAATTACATGAAGTTGCATTTCTTTATGAAGAAAATTTTATATTTTCTATTTTTATCCAAAAATATTCTAAGTAACTTCTTTCTTAAGAAAATATTTTATAAAAATAATTAGTGTGAGGGAAAATATTCAAAAAAAAGTATAAAAATATAATAATTAATATAATTATTTTCTTTATATAATAGTGTAAAATCATTTATAATAATAATTGTTTTCTTAAGATAATAAATATAACTAATAAAAGAATAATTAATATAATCTTAAATTATAAATATATAAATAAAAATACGTTCTTAGGATATGGACAAATTAAAATAAATACATACATATATTATTAATTTTTTAAATCATACAATTATTAATTAAAGTTAACATCATTTTCAACCCAGGTCTATAAATAAATCAAGATGAAAAAAAGAAGAAGACAGAGAAATAATTTTTTACTTAAATCCCGTATGGTAATTAAAAAAATATTGGGACCTATTTTAACAAATAATCACAAAATTCAGGGACATATCATACTAAGTATAATTATTTTTATTAAAGTTAAAATATTTTAAGCATTTGATTAAAGGGTCTCACTTTCTTCTGTACCAATTTTTAATGAGAAAAATAGATTAATTATCATAAATTGCAATACTATCTTTAGTCCTTTTCTTTTCAACATTTTTTTAAAATATCCTTCTAATTTAGTTCACTTTCTCTTCATTGAGCAAACTTCCTTTCCAGGAAAATTTTGACTTAGTAATTAGGAGAAGATTAAATATCAAAAACCCTAAAAGAATAACCATGAGTGTAAAAAAATAAGCAGTGCATTTCATGACTCATAAAATTAATTTAAGTTCTTATAAGAAATAAAACTAAGGACTCTTATTAGTAATAAAAAATTATTAAAAAAAATTGACATATTCAATTATACATGTCTTATTTTAATCATGGTACTAATTTTCTGACGTGCCATTCATTTGCCAAATAAAAAATAATATTTGTATTAATAATTGAATTTTTCTTAGGATTATTTCTCCTGTTCTTTAATGACTAAAAAATATTATATCAAATTGATGAACTAAAAAATGTTTAACACTTTAAAAAGTAATTGAAATAAGATTAAAAAAAATGATATTTGGGGAAATAAAAGAATTTATATATTAGTTACTAGCAAAAGTGTTAATATAAAAACACTAATGAGAGCCCATTTTAAAATTGGGCCTTCGAACACACCATTTTCAATCGGCCCAGAATAGTTGTAGGAAGATATATAAAGTTGAATTGAAGATTGCTAATAAAACTTAATAAAGTAAACAAAATTGTGATTACTATTTCACACTGATATAGAATTGAATTAGAATATAAAACACTACTATCATTTATTATGAATATTTGTATTATCGGTTTGAATGTTGATAATAATAAAAATCACACCTATAACAATTTTATTAATTGTTATAAATACGTGTTAAAGTATCTACAAAATTTTTTCAATCAATTCAAGTGTTCAAATAGTAGTATTTATGTATCATTTATTAGAATCCATATTATATATTAATTAGTAAGCATAGTGTCTCATCTTTATAATTAATTGTTTTTAAATATTATATTTATTTTATTTTATCTTTGTATTCTTTAAATATATTTTTTTCTTTTTCATATTTTTATTATTTTTAAATATATAAATCATAAGAATGGGTTTTACTTTAGATTATTACATTTTGTTTTTCTCTTTCCGATGACACCATAAAAACGGTTAAAAAAAATATATCTCCATATATGATTTACGGAAATCCGACGCTGAAGTGTTTGCATGTTCACATTTTTTATATGATTATTTTTTTAAATTTTATTTTATGTTATGTTTACATTCTTAAAATATATCCTCTTTTTTCTCTATTAATTATATATCATATTTTTCTCTTTTTTCATATTTTTATTATTCTTTAAAATATATAAATTATAGTAAATATTTTTTCTTTAAATTATACCACTTTTATTGATATATATATATATATATATATATATATATATATATATATATATATATAAACACCTTTTTATTTGTTATAATAATTTCCGTTATGTATTAAAATATATATTAGTTTCAAGCATTATTTTAATTCAATCCTCTATTCATAAAATTTTCACTGATTATAACTTTTTTTAATTAGTAGCATTAATGAATTAGAATGAATGTAAGGACGAAGTGCTTCAACATTATTCGTTTTATTTTACGAATTTTCTTTCAAACTTTAAGCAGCTTGGTTTAATTATATATGTCAATCCAATATATATCTTTTATTTTATAAGGTCACATATATTGTCTGAAACATGATTCATCAAATAAAATGTTCTTCATTTTTTAAAATGCTAGATTGAATTTTCTAATAATAAAAATAACTAGTATAGAAATTATTTTGAGTTTTCTGCGTAAGAAAAAAAATCCAATGTCAACTGGGAGATGTAAATTTATATAGAGTAAAATAATTTAACATTTAGAGGATCAAAGTCAATTTATATTGGACATTCAGAGGACCAAACATATAAGAGTTTCACAAATTAAAAAAAAATGTGAAAATTTACGCTGGGTGTACATGAAGTAATGTTCACTAGACATAAATTTTCACGTTTTTTTTTTAATATTGTTTTGGTTTTGCTTACAAAATACAAAAAAAAATCTAGAAAATCTAAAACAAAACACTTTATCTAAATTTATCCAACTAAATAAAAGTAAATTACTTACTTAAAAACTAAACTAGTTAAAAGTTAAACTAATTAAAAATTAAAGTACATAACTATCACACTAAATTACCCAAAATTCAAAATGTCAATTATTTTAGAAGTTAAAGTACATAATATAATACTAACCAAATTTAGAAAATTAAGTACTTTGAGGACCCAATTAAGAGACTTAAAAGTAGAAGTAGTTTGGTGAAAGTTAAAGTTCAAAGTTTTATAGGTTAAGTTAAAAAAAAGAAAGTAAAGATAGAAAATTTTAACAATTCAACTTTTATAATTACAAAATTATCATCTCTCTAGAATCCAAGCACGTCATAGTGTTAGTAGAGTAGAGGAAATTATTTGTACCCAATTAAAATTTTAAATACAATGAGTTTCTCTTTACCCATTTTAGAGCATTTACATGTAAATTTGCATAGCTTGCATGTGGGTTTTGTCACACAAAAATAAATTTTGACTAGCTTAGAAATATTATAGTATACTTAATTTATTAATTAAAGTTTTCTATGAGCATGATATGACTTTCTATGAGATTATGTGTTTTAAGAGTTTTTGGAATCAAAGGTTGAGAAATACAAATAAGACAAACTAATAGTAATTTTTTTAGCATCCTAGGATAAATTATCTAGATTGTGATGGTGACTTGGTTACATTGTCTGATTTGTAGGGAGTTTATTGTAAATTGATATTATTGGTAGTTGTACATGATCGAATGAGTTGAATTATGTTTATTATATGGGAAAGATGTGTATGGAATATTAGGGTAGAATAACAATATTTGGACTAGATATTACATGTTCTATAAGGAAATGATGTAATAGAGTTTTAAATCATAGTGGTTCATGCCTAAAAACTGATTCAAGGTGTATTTTTATAATTTATTATTTTCATATTTTGCTCTAGCGATAACTTGTTGTTTAAGCAAAATATGCAATAGAGATAAGGGTTCCTCTCGGTATATTTTTTCTCAAGTGAAAAACTCATAGTGATTGAGATTGGTCTCGGGTGCATTTTTGTTCAAGCGAAAATTTAATTGATTTTTTTGTTCAAACTTCTAAAAATTATAAAAAATAGCTTCGATTCCAAATTTAACGTTTCATATATCCAAATTGAAGCTTGGGAAATGAGGAATCCAATAATTAAGAATTTGTAAAAAATGATATATAAAAAAAAGTTATGGTCAAAATAATCAATAAAGGTCAAATTAAAAAATTGCATTTTATTTGTAAATGTGATAAATAGTATGTATATAACTTAAATTGTTAGAACATATGTTATGAGCATGAAATGTGCTATTTTGAGTGTTATTATATTATAAAAAAATATTTTTTTTATTGTGAGATATTCATATATGTACATTATCTATGATGAATCATAAAATGATGTAGTGGTGTTTTGTGTACTCTTGATACTAAGATATATCTGTTGAGTTTAGTCGAGTCAAGAAAGTGATTCATAATTGACTGAGATATATTTATGTATGTGAGACTAAGTCGAGCCTGTGATTTGATCCATAATTGACTGAAATGTGTGATTATAGGTACATGGAGAGGTACTATGTAGTGCAGTGTATAGGAGTATTGAATTGAGATTCTGAAGGAGATTACCCTGACCTTACTGATCATTGGAATCATGTAGATGAAGGAATCAGGTGGTGAAAGTTGAATGGGGTCTCTATGACTCAGCTTGTGGTGTAAAAGAGAACTCTATCTAACAAGTTATAGGGATTTTACCTTGTCAAAGAGGGAATGTATTTCAATTGTGTAACTATGTTGGATATATCAACTTAGAGAAGATAATGTGACAAGTGAAAATTTTCTGAATCTAATTCAATGGCTAGTCTTCCAAAAGTCGCCTAGAGTATGTAGACGTGAATTGATGTGATGTGATAAATTTGAAATGAATTTGTGGAGTGGTAAATATACGTGGAAATGCATGAAATGGTAGTTTTAGAATAAATTTAATTTTTAACATGTTTATTTTAAAATACTATCTTACCTTGCA